AAAAAGTTAAATTGTGAATTAAATATGTGTATACCAATATATATTTCATCAGCTTTATTCCTGCTTACACTTCTCTCATATAAAATTGTTTACACATTATGGATAATATTGCTATGCATCACAAACGATCAACTTAAATATTTTTTGTCTTAATGGAAATTTTAATAGGAACTGCTTTGTAAATCTTCCTCTCTCCAGATTATGTAACTTTTAATTGCTGTGATGAACTCCTTAATAATATTTGTTTATGTTATTTAGAGCCATGAAATATTTAGAGAAGCTAGCGATTATTGAAAACATCTTTTTCAGTTAATACACTTGAATCATGTAACACCCTCTTCTTTGATGCTTAAGTACATCTAGTGCGGATCAATCAGAGATTAAGTTTGCTGTGGAGCTTTGATACTGCTAAATATACATGAGATTATGTTTACCTTTCCTACTTGAATCATACTGGAGCCCAATGCATCATCAGAATGTAGGTCAAATTATACAACTTCCACTATATGCATTAGATATTTATGGTAAAACACTTATATGTACACAACTTGTATTCAGGTTTATATAATAAATACTTAAATTTTGCCATTTGTTGCCAACATTATTATTCTGAATTTTGCTTAGAGAATGATCCAATTACTTGAAACTTTTAACAGGCAAATTACACAATTTTGTACTGTAATTAATTGGTAGTTAGATGGATAGTATATTTAACAATTATTATTTAATATTTGTGTTTGTGCAATAATACTTGGGCTTCTAGTCAATCTTTAATATTATATATTTTAAAGCTTGTAAAAGGACTTGAGTATCAACTTTTATGATTAATTTATTATTGCTACTCTTTTTGTGTTATCATATCGAGTTAGTGATTATTGGATATATTTTGTTATGAACCCTATTCTATGGGAGCAAAGCTCGTTATTATATACAGAATAGAAAATGTCTTTTCAAAAATCTATTAATATGTTGCTCTGGGCAAAGCGCAACTTTTACTTTTCCTAATACCTAAAAAATATATCATTGTTTATATTAATATAGAAATATCAAATATCTCTTTTGGTAATATTATTTTTATTTTCCAATAACAATTCAAACTAATTATGAGGCAAATTTTGTCCTTAGAGTTTAAGTCTTTAAATTGAATTTGATTGATAATGAACTTTAGAATTAAAGTTTAAAGTTCGCTTATTTGATGTAATCAACTATGAAAATGTTATTTTAATTTTCCATTGTCCCCTACTAATAAATAATCTATTCTGAAACTACAGGATAGTTCATAATATCACGACCTGTTTATGATTGTGAAGCAAAAATATTTCACACTTTCGTTTGTTAATCTTTAGATTATATTAAATAGAACATTTTCAAGAATTTTCCTTATGCTGAATAATTGCGGCAATGTCAGCAGCAAATTAAAACCTCCATAAATTTAAATTGCTATCAATAGATACCTTATCTAAAAGATCTTTTAAATAAATATTAAATAAGGCAGAAGCCTCAGGCACTCTATTATCAAAATAAAAGCTTAATCAGTAGTACTATCCTTAAAATATACATTAGAATATAAAAATTTAAGAAACTCAATATCATGATTTAAATTTTCAACATAGATCATAAAAATTAACACATGATAAGTTAAGATCTGCTGGAAACCATTTTCTAAAGATTTTTCGGAAGCAATGGAGTCATAAATTTTAAAGGGTTCTACCGAAATAAATGTCTCCACAAATAATAAGAAGTTAGTTGGCTTTTATAGCCTCTATAAAATTGATTTGCCAAATTGTTAGTTTTTCTTTTTAGATTCAAGAATATTTTTATGTTTAAAATAAAAATTAAAAACGAAAATGTCGAAATGTAGCATAGATAATTAAATAATCAAAAGCATCACAAAAAAAAATGAGGAGCACCTTTTTTCTTGTTATGGAGAATCAGAGGTTTAAGTGAGCATATGTTCCTAAAATTGATTTTGATGGTGAATGTGTTAGTTTAAGACACGACATGTTTATTTTGCTCTAGTCAAAGAATATGTCAGTTCATTTGATAGGGTGTCACCTAACTAGAGTGGAACTTATTGAATTAGATTGCCATCAATATCATGCGAGCTAAATCCATTTGGCCTAAAATTTCGTAAAATGTTCTTTTATTTGAAAATAGTTTCAAATGTCTAGTTATACTTCTTTTATAGTATATTAAAATTAAAAGGTTTTCTAATAGAGGAAAATCAAATGTTTAAAGTTTATCATTTCTTTTTAGTACAACAACAATTATCTTAGGATGAAATTAGTTCTGATTAATAATGTGTAGGCATGGATTATCATTTTGTTCTTTCATTTATTTTTCAGTAGTTCTTACAATTACTAAGATGGAAAGAAGATGAAAGCACGTCAATTTAAGT